CTCAGACGTTTTCCCTGCGTCTCATTTACAAATGTCAGACCACCACACTGAATATAAGATTATTGCACAGGAGAATAATTGTATTAGGGAGACTTGACAAATCTGTTTGCAATGAGCTAACTCTATAACAACTGAATGATTTAAACATTTCTGTACATCTATGCTTTAATAACTGTACAACAAGGTAAAACTTTATCAGATGGAGCTCTTCATAATCATGCAGCTCCATGCTGGAGAAAATTACAGTTGATGACATGAAATTTTTAAAAATTGAGAATATATGCAAAGAAAAAAAAGCTTAAACAGACAACTTTTCAAAAAATAAAATAATTTTATGTTACTCACTTTCCTTGGGCTGGCTTCTAATGTCCAACTGTAAGGGCGATTGATCCAGAATGCAGTAGTGCAAATACTTATAGGTATGCTTCAGTGAATCACATTAATATGAGTATTTCATGGACCCAGGTGCCCTTCGTGTTGCTGGTTATCATCTATAAAGCCTTTCATGACACAGGGTTGAATTATTTGTAGGATTTCCAATCTCCAATTATCTCTGCTTGTCCCATGAGATCTGGCAAAGTACAATACTCTGATCACTTCTATGAAACAATATAATCTGGCACTTTCCAGAACACGTACCTTCATTGTTTCAGCACCTGCTCTATGGAATGGTATTTCTTCTGAGATTCAGATAATCTGATCCTCCTAGTTTTCTATAGGATCCTGAAAACTTGGTTCTTCTCTCCAGGTGTTTATCATTTAAGAGATTTGTAAGACTAACCATCTTGGAGCACCTCTATGGGCAGCTCACAACAACAATATAATTACAAAATCAGAAAACCATAAAAAATGAAAACTAAAAGCAAGTGCCTCATTCATCCCCTTAGAATACCCCAACAATCATCTACAGCAGACATGTCCAATGTAGCCCACAAGCCTTGGCGAGTAATGCAGCCACACAATATCATAAACATTTAACATTATTATGCGATTCATGATATGATATATTTTGCTTGTTCTTTAATCCATGTGCAAGTCTTTCTATCTTGTCTTAAAATGCCAAATGTATCTTTTTATGGCTCTTTGTACTGCTCATAGTTTTTGTATTGATTGTGAATTTAGTGTCCATGTTTCACCAGCATATGTTAGAGCAGGTAGCACACACTGATTGAAAACTTTTCTCTTCAGGCATACAGGGAGGTTGTTCTTGAAAATTAGCTTGCCAAATGCCTGCCAACCAAATTGAACACACTGTTAAATTTTCTTTATCATTGAGAGAGTCAAAGAATTGAAATGGAAATGGAAAGATCACATAGCAAGAAGAAATCATGACAGATGGATCAAGGCAGTCATATAATGGATCCAACTTCATAAAAAGTGTCCATGAAAGAGACCTAAAACATGATGGATCGATGACATCAGCAAGTATTGCAGGCCCAGTTGGCAAAAGAAAGCTCAGGACAATATTGGTTGGCTTTCATCCTTCAGTGGATAGACAATGGCTAAAATGATGAGGATAATGCAATTCATATTATCCTTTTTATATATTTTATATGTCGCCCAAGATAATTCCTCTTCATTTAAGGCAGCCCAGGCAAGCCAAACAGTTGGACATCCATGATCTACAGACTCTCATCACTCTACCCTAGTGCCTGGGTGAAGAACCAGGTATTTATGGTCTTCCAGAAGGCTAAAATGTTGGGGACCTGTCCAACTGCTGAGAGGGAACATGGCATCAGGCTGTCTAGGTATGAATCGAATATGTAATGGTTGGCCTTGGTTGTTCCATTTATTGTTTGAGCTGTTTATCATTGTTTTATTTCTAGTTTTATTTATTTAATAATCTTTATTGTCATTGTACATATATACAATGAAATTGCTTTATCAGATTCAGAAGTCCACTGATTCCACAATGACACCAGGCAGCTTATCCATTATAAAGGGGGAAAAAATCCCCACATGTACAAACTTATTCCCTGTAACAGAAAACATAACCAATGATGTTTCTCAAGCATCCAACTTTGCAGCCTGGGAGAAGAGCTACGTTTCTGTAGACTACTAGAACGACATGGGCAGAGGGTATATTATGTGAGATGGCAAGTGCCAAAACAGAGAAGACACGCTTCCTAGTTCTCCATTGATGGTATTGTTTGATTAAAGGAAACCCAAACATGTCAACTCTGCTTGATCTTACTGGTGGAAAGAAGCTAAGGGAGATAGGCAGTTCTTCAAATAAAATCCACCTATGTATAGGTAATTTGACAGAATACATTATTTTCCAATATGATCTTTCCGATTCTACTACCAGATTGATTTTGCTGAATTTGGGCTCCACTAGAAGGTAAATTAAATCCTGGTTTCCTGCAGGCAACCATGTTAAAACAATCGACTTGTTGTAAACAGCCTGATCCAAAATAAATCAAACGAAAAGAGAACTCTTTATTATTCTTATTATTATTGAGTCTTACTGGTATTTAGGGAATTAGGAGAATTTGATGATTGGTAGCAATTTGCACTCATATTTTCTGTGGGATAAAGATAATGTAAAACGGATTTTCAATGCTTCTGATAGGAATCAGACTTAATGAAAAAGATATGGAAAGAAAGCAATTAGGAAGAGATGCTGGTGAGATATTGTCCAACATCCTCCACGCTCTAACAATTTTAATTTTCTTTTGTGTGTTTACGGTACGCTCCAATAAAGGCTTCGGACTCAGTCGACTATTTTCTTAGGATTTTAACTGATCCTAAGTAAAGATATTAGTCTTTTGGATTAAGGCTAACAGATTACAACGCGTCTTCAGCCAGACACCGAGCTCGCCCCCCGCGCCCCCCTCCGCGGAACTCTCGTAGCGCTTCTGCAGGCGGAAAACTCAAGCTCTCGTTCTGAACAAATGACAGTTGATGACGCAAAGGCCGCGAGCTTCGCCGCAGCTCGCAAACTCGCCGGCTCTCCTTCCTTCGGGGCAACGGCCTTTTCCTCAGAAGAAACATCAGCAAGACACCCGAAGCGGCGGCTGGATAAAGCGGAGTGCGGCCAGGGGGAGATGTGGCGCCTGGGCAGTTGAACATCTTTCGGAAAGCATTGACCATAAAAAGAAGGTTTAACTCGGCCTTTGCCTAGGTGGGGCTGCGGAAGACGAAAATTATAAATTTAGCTGCTGTGTTATGTGATGCAGAAGCATAGATTTAAGCATAACGTACGCTTAACTATAACATAGGTTAATTAAAATCTTATATATAAATATTATATATATAAAATATTATCCCAAGGATCTAATATATTATCCCAGTTCTCTTGCTTCAGAAGACTGACCACACCCTAAAGGTATGTTAGGGCATTTCAAATCTATCAGCTTTCAATTTCCAAACATTAGAAGTGCTCAAAAGTTGTGATGCCTTGGGGACCATAAAGATATTTTGGTTACTTTAATGTAATTTAGAGGTTCTTGGTAAGTAACTACACAAATATCATAACTTTTTAACATTTTGTTTGTTTCATTTATTGCATTGTACTAACCAGTCTGTTGCTAGTTTATGTTGTACAAAATCAGGAAACAACAAACTAGAATTAATCATGGGTTATCGAGTTATGAATAGAGCGTTATACTTATCTCCACGTTTGAGGTTATATTTTTACAAGAAATACACTGGTTATACAAATGGGAGAGATATAGACACTATGGGATCCATAGGTAAATAGACTCTGAGCTCCTACTTTGGAGACCCTCCAAAAACTTTGTTGTGTGTAGGTGGGGGTGTTGCATCTCCACAGGAGTTGTCAAGGTCTAGTGGTACAAATGGAAAGAGGCAGCAATGGATAAACTACAAGTGGGGACTGAGCACCTCCTCTTTCTCAGACATTTTTGAGGTGCTATTTCCACAGCAGCTGCACCATCAATAGCCTCTTCGCCTCTCATTTGGGAATACAGTGTTATTGATAGATGTTCAACAATTAAATAAATAATAAAAATAACATAAAGTCAGTCAAGTCAGTTGAGGCCAGAGGATGTGGTGGAAAAGAAACTCTTGTATTATCTGATGATTTTTCTGTTTTTTTGCTTTCTGATAGTGCTTTTCTGGTGATGGGGCGGGGGAGAGGAGAGGTTGTTTCTGCTTGGGAAAGAATGAGATGGCCATAAGGGATGGATTCTTCTGGGGAAAAGGGTTGCAAGAGCTATATGTACTGGTATGTATGTTTGTATGGCCACATATTGGAAAGGACAGGAGAGGCACAGTACAGAAACCCTTATGTGACTGTGTGACCTTTCCCTTCTCCCCTTTGCCCTTCCGTTATTGTACCTTGAGAGGTAGTTATTGAGGACCCTGCCTGAAAGTCTTGTTTTGGGATAAGAAAGCTCTACTTATTTTCCCATGCTTGCTGAAGCGTATTTTGGAGACTGAATACAGATGGTCGTAAGTAATATGCTGTACTTTACAAATCATAATGCTTTAACATGTGAAGCCGAAATTAAAATCACATAGTAATTTGGGTGAATCTACTTATTGAATTCCCATTTGCCGTCTTATCATCCAGTAGTATTGGTCAGGATGAGAATTCAGCTCCAGATTTCAATCAGTCAATTAGAATATGGCTGGAATGGAATCAATCTCTTTTTTGTAATGTGGTGACCAAGACTAGATGCAGTATTCCAGGGGTGGTCTTACTAATGATTTATAAAGTAGTACCAATATTTTCTATGCCTCTGTTTATACAACCAAGGGTTATATTAACTTTTTTGGTGGCTTCCACACACTGCTCATATTTAAATGATTATCCACTTAGACATGAAGGCTTCTCTTATAGTTACTGTTTTTTGAGTCAGATTTCACCTAATCTGTACTTGAATCTTTTGTTTCTCCTGCCTAGGTATAAGACCTTGCTTTTTACCACATTAAATTTTATGTTTTTGGATATGGCCCATTGCTCAAGTCTGTCAAGATCCTTTTGATTTCTGAACTTGCCTTCTGGGGTATTGGTTATTCCTGCCAGCTTAGTGTCTTCTGAAAATTTGATGAGTTCCCCTTCTATTCCCTCATCTAAGTCATTTATGAAAATACTGAATGGTACTTGGCCTAAGACGGAGCCTTGTGGTACCATACTACTTCCTTTCCCATAAGGACCACTTGTTGAGTACAGTTTGTCAGCCAGTTAAAAATCCATCTGGTGGTGATGCTGTCTATCCCACATTTTTCTACTTTATCAAAAAGTAGGTTGTAGTCTACTTTGTTGGTTGCATTGCTGAAGTCTTAAGTATACTATGTCCACAGAATTTCGCTGGTCTCGTAATTTGGTCACTTTGTCAAAGAATGAAATAAGTTTTGGTTTGGCATGATCTATTTTTAACAAACCTGTGCTGACTTTGAATGATAACTTTATATGTTTCTAGATGTTTGCAGATCTGTTTTTTGATTATTATTTTCCAGTATCTTCCCAGGTATTGATGCCAGGCTGTAGTTTCCTTCTTTCCTTTGCTGAAGATGGGAAACCCCATCAGTTCTTTTCCAATCCTCTGGTACTTCCCTGGTGCTCCAGGATTTTTGAAAGATATAACAATTGCCGTCTTGGGTGAGTGGCACTGCCTCAGATTGATCTGATGTGTAATCTGGGGGTTTTCCTGCTCATGGAGCAGATGGCAGCTGTGGCCTGGAAGACCATTGCACAAGGAATGTATGTCAGTTATTTCCATTTTCTGGACCAGCAATCCCTGCTCATGCTCACCTATACTCTAGTCACCTCTGATCTGGACTATATGGAAGGGGAAGAAAAAGAGAGGCAGATGGACTCTAAAAAGATTGATCCTAAATCACAAAGAATTTAAATTGAGGATGGAAGAGCAACTATGTGTGTTCTTCTAAGAAAATAAGAAGGAGGATACCAATATACAAAATCTATGGGACACCACAAAAGCATATAAGAGTGGCATGGCTATAGCATACATGGCAAAAGAAAATAAAAAGAAGAAGCAACAACAAGAGAGCCTAGAACAGGGGTCGCCAACCTTTTGGACCTCAGGGACCACCAAACTCATACTTTTAAATCCCAAGGACCACTAATATGATTTTTTTTAAAAAAATTAATATATATTTTTTTATTTTTATATTAAATATAAATTTAATATTAAAAATTGTTGTAATGACGAGACAGTCGAGTTGTTTGATCATGAACAACTGAATCATCATGATCTTTATTGGAGTATAGTCTTTATATACATTTTTAGTTATCCTCCATCATTGGTTAACTTTGGTTACTGCTTAACTTTCGTTACTGTTTAGTACAGTAATCTATACAATTAATTATCTCTAGTTAAAGTCTAACATATGTTTACTTCCCCTCTCTAATCCTCCTTGTGTGTTCTTCCAAGAAAATAAGAGGAGGATACCAATATACAAAATCTATGATTTTGAGATTAGATTAGTGACTTTGTTTGCCTGAGTTGTATTTGCTTGGAAACATTCTTTATCTGAGGTTTGCCATCCGAGATTGGAACATTCCTGCACTTACAACTCTACATATCCTTGTTTTTTATTTTAAATGGAGGATTCAAAGATTTATGAATGTATCACAATTGTAGAGGATTAAGAGAGGGAGAAGCAGGACAAAACAATGCAAATAAATTTGGAATACATTGAATAAAACAGGTTGCAATTAGTACAATAATAATTATAGCATAAAAGAAAAACTCTGAGCCAAGACCAATCAGGGAGCCAATTGATTAACCACTCAAAAGGTGAGTAATGAGCATGGATATTATTTTGAATGTATGATTGTAAATTGGCAAGCTCATCCTCAATAGTTTTATTCAAAGAATGAAAATTCACAGCACATCCACGGCGTCCAACTAACATACAATACCCTCCCTGAGGGGTTAAGAGATAGTCTATGGCAAAACGCTGCTGTAAGACATCTTGATTTAAGTCTTCTATTTCATGCTGCAAATCACAAATAATAGCAGTGGTAGCATTGATGGATTTTTCAAGTCTGCAGGTGAAACCAAGAATAGATCGTCTGTTTTCTTGAGCAATTATGCCAGGATAAGAGCCTAGAGTAAGGACCCCTGTAATGGCCCCTGCCAATGCACGGCCAAATGTAGAACCAGAAGACAATTGTGTGTCAATAATGACTTCATCATTACATGTAGGCCTCAGAGAGGAATGCCGCTATTGAGTTGATGGGAGCGTACCTATTTGAACAGGTAGAGTAAAATAACCTATAGTTGCACATTGATAATTCTGAGGATGAACATTAGTAGCATATTTATCAAAAAAGAACCACATATTAGGATCCTTCAGCTGCCAACCAGCGCATATTGATCCTGTATTAGATTGATCAGAGGCATTAAAAATAGGAAAATTGTCAGGATACATATCAGGAGCTATATTAATTCCATGCAAAGAAGAATTAAAGGTACCTGACAACCAATAGTAGTCAGAACAATAACTATAATTCCCTACCTTTTTTAATATGTGTTGAGCAGCATCATAATCAGACCAATTACGAAGCCAAGTGTGTTTAGCATGATAACAGAAACACAGACCCCTTGTAAATTGACTAACTTTCAAGTAATGCCAACGGACAGAATTCAATTGCATAGGGGGTGTAGAAAATAGCCAGGAGTGTGAAATAGATAGTAGTTGTGAGACAATAAATGTAGAAGACATGATCAAGTTAGGGGTAAAAGAAATTTGACCAAATGCCATTGGGGGCTCATAGTATAAAGTAATATTTGTCCCATGGGTCATAAACATGTATTGGGCATGACGAACCCACAAATTAGGGTTAAGATGAACCATAGAGCAGAAACACCATTAACCATAAACAAGAAAATATAAAGTAAAATGGTAACAGAGTTAGCAGTAATAATACCAAAAACAGCAGCAACAAGATTTTCAGGAGTCTGAGGTAATGAGGCCTTTTGCAGTTGTTGTTGAGCTTGATATGTAGTAGATTTAACCTGTCCCCAAGTGATGGGTTGCAGGCGCTTTGACCTTGGAAGATGAAGATTGAAATCCGGAATCGGGTAGTGAAGGCCCTGATGCCATGCCATGATACGGACGAACACAGCGCGCTGGAACCCACACTGCTTGTTGAGTAGAAGGATCTTCCATGGCAGTGTAACCGCG